GGAGAAGAGAATCGAAAAGAATGCAACTCCCAGGGGTTGAGATAAGAACAGTTTAGTAACTAAGGTATAACACAAATCACTGCTGCTACCACCAATAATAACAATGATAAAGGAAACAACAAGGGAAGAGAATACATCACCTCACCACCAGCTGACCGATAACTCCCCCCCGCCCCCCAGCCTGACCAATCTCTGACTGATACCTCCTCCAACCCTGCAGTCCCCCAGCCCTTCCAGCTAACTCTCAGTTACATCCTGGGCATGACGTGCTGTGGTATGGAATACCTCTTTGGCTAGTTTGGGTCAGGTGTCCTGTCTCTGCTTCCTCCTGGCTTCCCCTCCTCCCTGGCAAAGCATGAGGCTCACAAAGTCCTTGGCCAAACCAAAACATTGTTATCAGCTCTGTTCCCGAGCTGAAAGTCAAAACACTGCACTGCACCAGCTACCAAGGAGGAGAAAAATGAATGCTACTGCTGAACCCAGGACAGTTTATTACTGTGATGTAAAAGACTATTGCTGGATGATCGTGGTGCCAGCCAACTGGCCTGTTTACAGTAATAGATTTTAAACACAAGTCCAGATGTGCAGCTGGCTACAAACTTTTTAAAAAATGAACAGTAAGGATGAAGAAAATCTCAATAAGCAAGTTGGGTTTTTTTGCCTCTCTTCCTTGATCCTTTAAGAACTTTTAATTAAAAAAAAAAAATAAAGCTACTATGAAGAAAAATAAAATTCACTTTTTTTTTAATTTAGAAATGACAGGAGCCTTTATCCTTTTATTTTTTAAAATACTTCAATCATGTCTGATGATTCTGATGACTTAAGATGGGTTAATTGATCAGCAGTTACCTCAAAGCACATAGTAACAGGTTTAGTCTGTCACTTAGATGAGATTTGTTTATATTATCCATTCAGAAAGTCTTGGGTTTATAGCAATTCCAGAGTAACATAAGCCTATAGTGGCAGCACATTTTTAGTTTATATGTCTACAGCTGCATGAGTCTTTTACTGGAAGAAAACATCTCCAGAAAGTGCAACTTAATCAGTGTAGTTATTCTAGCAACTCTTTCTAGTGGTCTAATGATAAATGCCAGTACAGCTATTGCCTGACTGTTTATTCTGCTGCATATGGTTTATGTCAATATGTTTCAGAAAATAAAACAAGCAGAGAGTCCAGTTTTCAGTTGACTCTACAGGATGTAATTGCAACTCCATTGGAAATTATGTGTCAGTTGTTGCATTTTTCTAGCAGGCAGAACTACACGTGTTAAATATTTGGCTAGTAATACAGTTTTAAAAGACACTCTTTTTGTTTAGATTGACCACAGGTACATTTACTTAAATGAATGGGTTTACATGTACTTGTCTATTATAGAAATCACACAGTGGATGTATTTATCTATAAATTGAAGTTAGCCTCCTGTAACTGTGAGGAACATCAGCTTTTTCTGCTTTACTAGCTTTATCTTTAATCACACTTACAGAGAGCCCTTAATGGGTTGTGAGATCCTATAACTGAGGTGGTAAGGTATATGGGGCATCTTGTTGTGCTACACAATTTTGTTGCAAATTATTCTATATATTAATTCGTGAAACCTTTGCTATAGTAAAGTGAGGCAAGAATTTGAGTGACTAAAGAAGGTGGATCCAGCTAATGACTGGTTGCAAAAATAAAGCTTAAGAACCCTGAGAGCAGCTGCTTCTAGAGAATGACACTGTTATAAAATACAACCAGTATCTGAAATGTAGCAGTGAATGATTTTGTCTCGTAGTGGCTTATTGGAATTAAAATAACAATGTTTAAAAACTGCATACGTGCTTACCTTAATTCACCCTGTAAAAGCCAGGAGATACTAATCTCCATTCAGTATCTTTTATATATGTGACTGTACCCGCCATGTCCAGATCTTCTCACCTCCCTGTGGAGATACTGAGCAATGCCACCACTTTCAGTACAGAAATATATGGAGACATTTTTTTTTACAGAGTAAGAACTGTGGTCTAGACCATTCCCAGTCAGAATAATTTCTGAAATAGGTTTTTGGCTAAGTGGTCCATTTGGTAAAGGCATAAGGTTATTTTCTCACTGAAACAGTCACCATCCGTCTGAACTTCTGCTGCAGGAACTGCTCGCAAGCTTGGTTACTTACTGTGCCCCTCACTGTATCTTTTGGCAACCTCATAGGATATTTCCAATGTTAGTGCAGTATGGAGAATTTCCTGTGTCTGTGGCTATTCTTACAGTACATCAAGTAAGGTACTGCGAGAAAGGCACACATAATCCTTACGACATGCAATACTCCACATTATCTCTTCCAAGGAAATTCTGCCAACAAAGGTGCAGTAGTTGCCTTATCACACTGAGGCAAAAGTTGTGCTTCCCTCCCTTCGATCAGTACTGATTATCTGTTTATTGCAAAGCATTTGATACAAAGCCTGCATTTACTCACTGTGCCCTGTGATGCTCAGTGAATTGAAGAAACTGTGCTTTTCTGTGCTCAAAAAGCAACATGTACTGTGCTTTTGTACAGTACTGATTGTCAATAAAATGTAGTTTAGGTAAACCAAAAATACTGTCAATAAAGAACAATTTAACTAAAAGGCGTATTTCTGACAAATCTTCCACAGCAGCAGAAGCAGCAGAATTGATCCAGAAAATACTGACATTATTTAAAATGCAGGTTTAATTACTTGTTTTTAATATCCAAACTCTCATGTTCAGACTTTCAAACAGTATAGCAGCATGAGCAGTAGGCATTTGTAAAGTTGTTATCAGCTGAAAGATCTGTTAAAAAACAGCTAAAAGGTTTATGCTTCTACCAAATACGCACTCCTACACACGCCAAAATCCATACACTAAACCTAGTGTGAAAAAGGTTGCCACAGAAACCCTCCTGTGTATACTGAGTATCTTTCTGCATCATTTGTACATAGAATAGACAGAAATGTGTCTTTAACAGGCAGATTGTCCATTCCCAGGATGTAAGCAATTCCATGGGATATGATGAAATTTATTTTTAAAAATAAAGACAGAGCTAAATGCAGCATGTAATCATTTTTGGTCGAGACTGGAGGAAAAATGGTCCTGTTCAATGAAATGTACAGGAAACATTTAGGAGAACAGAATTTAACTTTCAGGATTGTTAAACAAAGAGAGAAATAAAACTGTCACAAATTCTTTCATTTTTCATTAGAATTTTGAATTTCCAGCAACCTTCAGGGTGTTCATTCTGTACTTTACCAAAGTGCTATGTACACAGCTAAAGAAATCAGAAGGTTTGGGACTTGATGTAACTCCCAGTTAGTCCAAATCCACAAATGTGCAATGTATATAGAGAAAAACTGTTCACACAGTCTTACTTAAAGCTGCTTAACAGCTTAAAATGATAAAAAGTCCTTAACACAATTTAAGAACTTAAACCACTTAAACAGTTCAAAGCAGCTTGTGAGTTTGAAGAGTTCTGGCTGGTGTGGGAAAGGCATCCCTGCTGAGCTGCAGCCCTGGGGACAGAGCTGGCCATACAGGAGCCCTTTTGGAGCCAGACTTGGGAGGCCTGGATGTGACATGATGGAGAAGAAGGAAGAGTTTTCTACATAGTTTTATATAGTGTTGTGTATATGCCCGGATTGCTTTGCTTTTAAATAGTGTTGGAGGGGCTTTTATGTGGGTGTGAGGTGTTATCAGTGGCATCCTTGTGGTGAAACAGAGAAAAGAGTGTACTGTCTGTTGTATGGAAAACAGTTTCAGCTCATGGGCCAAGTGAAGTCTCCTTAGTGGCATTGTGAAGAAATCTTCTGCAAGAGCTGCAAGGCAAAATGTTTTGCTTTTGTGGCTCCAAGAGTTGGAGGCAGGTGGGAGGTGGCATGAGCTGGCCTTTCAGATGTTTTGAGGATTTTTTTTTTCTAAAAGATTGTTTTGGAGAGAAAGAAGTGAGGGGAGTAGAGAGGGTTGCTTCAATTTGACTGATCTCAGTGTCAGTCTGTTGGTCATATCAGGAGTATGTTGCGTTATTATGTGAAGTTATACATTATAAAATGCAAAATAAACCAGTTTGGTTTATTTCGAGACTGAGATCTAGTTTGGTCCCTGCATGGGATGGTCAGTGGTTGAACGTGTGTGTGTGTATGCTCAGATCAAAAAAATGGTGGCACTGCACAGAAGTGATACTGAGGGCATAGGAAGGAGGCAGAGAATAGGAATGAATGTACATAGGTGGATGCTGTTTCTGATGCCGGTGATTCCACCTTAAATGTTTTGAAACTTAGCCTGGTTTTCATTGATGCAGGCAGTGATTTACACCTTTCTGTGCAGAAAAGGCTGTAAACCAGGAGTGAATTACATTCTGTACCATTTGAAAATAAATGGTGCATTCACAGCCACTCAGGTTGAGGCCCATTTACACTTCCAGAGTGGTATGATGAGTAAATGAAAGTTAGGCCTGTATGTGAATGAAAAATGCCTGTTTTACCAGAGGCTGTGAAAAGAGAGAGAGAGAAGGAGAGAGAGGGAGAGAGAAAGAGAGAGAGTCAGTGGAATTTGTAAGCAAGACTTTTGTTTGTTTGAAACAGCTGTATTGATTGAGTCAGATGGAGTATTAGTGTAACTGCAAACTAATTCCACTGAATTCTGCAACGTATTTCTAGTGATGCTGATGGGGCTGGAAGTTTGTATTTATTAACTAATGGTTTCCTGTGGTCAAGTAAGTCTTTGTTTTGCACTATGTTACTGTGAAAACTTAGAATTGTAACATTTAACATGAATGTTATCTGTCTAAAAAAAAAGTCTTTGCTGGGGTGAAAAAAAGCTCGGATATAGTTAATACAGTATCAATACAATTACATTACTCCTTTGCTTTCTTTTATGATGAGAAAAGAGATATGCAAATGTTACTCAGTGAGGGTAAGTGCTTTTTGACTAATGACATAGTAATCATTTCTTGAATGAAATCTTGGGTAATGTACTGCATAATACTAATATCTCAATATCGCTTGAATTTCAGAACATTTCAGGATCTGTCCAAACAAATGGATATATCTTATGGTACAGTCAGGGATTCAGCAGTGTATGAATACTTTAAAGCAAAAGGGACCAACCCTTTGGAGCAGGATAACACATTTGCTGAACTGTGGAGGACTATCAGTAAGAATAATGGAGCAGATAATTGTGTATCGAACCCTTCTGAAGGCATCAGAAAGGTAAAAGTAGATCACAGGGGGGTTAATTTAATTTTTGTGCTGTATTAATGTTGTTTGCATACCATTAATAATGTTCAGTCACAGGAAAGCACCTGTATTGTCATTAAAACCAGAAAAAAAGGTCCCTATCTAGTCCCTTCCTTCTAGTAACCCAATGGCAGGTTAGAATCATATTTTGGGGTCATGGTTTTGAATGTAAGTACTTTAGTTCTACCTAAATCTTCAGTATGTAAGTCCTTCTTTGGATCTGGCCATAAGGTTTCTCAGTTTCTTGAGAGCTCTGATAATACCATTTTGAATGTCATTCTTTACATTATCCAGGTACTGACTCCTGTCATTTCAGTGGTTTGTTTTTTTTTTTTCTGAGGTGGTGGATTGAGCTTACTGAAACATGAGCAAGAATCAAGGGATTCACTGAACACAGAATTATTTCTCCTAGAACAAAATGTTAATGCAACATTTTCTTTGTTTATTCTAAACTTTAAAAAATGAACTCACATGTTGCTGTGCTTTCACATGCTCTTCGCCATGCTTTTATTTCTCTTAGATATGACCACACACTTATTCTGTAAGCCTCCTGTCATTTATTACAGCTAGATTTGCCTAAGCCAGACATGTAACTGTAGATTGGCAGGCTTTTCAGAATACTAATTATACTGTGTGTACGGGACTGGCAGCTCCATCCTATCTATGTGATAACTTTTCATATTAAGTTTGATTTCAATATTGTAGGATGATTTTTATATCAGTTGATTGGCTCATTCAATTAATGTCAACAATAACCAAATTTACTTCAGTCCTCAAAACTGACCAAGGCTGCTGTTTGATTAGACACTTGCATAAATTTGGTTGAATGTTTCATAACATTGCCAACTAACCTGTTGTGTAGTTTAAATGTTGCTCTTCATAGCTCACTGAGCTCTTTGAATGGAGACAAGTTTTTCATGTCAAGCATTACAGCTAGAACTTGTTTTTTCTAAAGGAGAATTGATGATGGCCAAGGAAATGGGACTTCCCATCCAGAAACACGTACTGCTGTATGAAAAAGAAGTAAATGTGCCTTAAAAATGTATTTTTACAAGAAATCTAAAATTTCTCTATCATGAAAAGATCCCCAAACCATTTTTCTGAATGAGGACTTGCCTGACACAATGCAAAAAATAAAACCACCCAAACCAAACAAACAAAAAAAAGCCACTATTATCCTTTCTCCCCTCCTTCTTCTTTCCATTTTCTTTAGACAGCATCACAGCTCAGCTGCAGTTACAAAGAGAGCAATGCCGCTTTAATGTAAAACAGGAGAGTGCTGCTTATTTGTGGTACAGGCAGGTATTTCAGATATTTGTCTCTATTCCATTTACCTCTCTCCATTTTCTGGAGATTTTCCTACTCCCTTTGACTGCCTAAAAACAAAAGGATAATAGTGGAACAAAGTCCTGAAAGCTTTTGTGGCATTTGGTTGCCATGGCAGAGGTCTCCAGACACAACACAGTCCCTGTAGCCACAATGACTACCTCCCATTGTCAAGGCACAGCTTCTGAAACACTGGTAGAGCTATGGAAAGGGCATTAATGTACTGCAAAGTCACATAAGTGACAGAAGGATGTTTCAGAGCTGAGGGGGCAAGTTGTTTTTGTCGTACACTCACGGCAGTTGAAAGCGGTTATTAAAGATGGAAAACATTATGCTATTCATAAACATCTCTGCACAGCATAGGAGGAGGTTACCAGACAAATCACTGCTCCATACAAAATGCTATTTTGACACTTGAGTTTTCTGGTACTATAAAAAATGAGGATTGACTAATGCTGTCATATAGAAAGTTTCTTTCTGGGTCAAGCTACAGACAGGATCCTGAAGAATCATGCAGTATGTAGCTCCTGCCATCTTATCCCAGGTGGACATTGGTACTGGAAGTGCACACATTTCTAAGCCATTTGAAAATCTCAGCAAACTCTTTGCATAATACCCACTGGCCATCGGTTCTTCAAGGCAATTACTAATTACTACAACATATGTAATAACCTGTGACTTTTTTTCACTGTGGGCAGCCATTTTTTGCTTGGAAAGAATGAAGTAATATGACCCTTATGTAATCCTATAGATATATATCTTATATACATATAGGAGAATTAAACTGTTACCGTTGTATTTTCTAAAGGCTGTGCTTTGGTGGAGACTGTTCTCCTGTCCAATCAATTTGGTGCCAAAATTTCTCTGAATCCTTTTCTTCGTGTGTTATCACTTTTGATGGAAAGTGATCAAAATCAAGTACAGTGCAAAATGTGAACGCATCATTGATGTAGGCAATGACACATTAAGAGTTTATTCCTTCCCTTTTTTGCTTCCTTCAAAAGATTCTGTCCCTTACTGAACTCTAAACCTTAAATCAGAGCATTTCTTATTGAACAGTCACCTCTGTTCATTTTTATCTTGAAAGTAAGAGTAATTTTAAAAGTTCAATTAATAAGATTTTTAAAACTATATTTTCCAATAATTTATTGTGCACATCAGATTTTATATTGTGAATTATGGTTGCTCATCCATATGTTTTCAGGAGTCCTCAAAAATTTCTCTATTTCTTGACCCCTTTGGAGTAAAAGCAAATGCCTCCTTAAACCTGAATATATTACATCCTTCAGTGGCTCCTTAGTTATATTAATTTTAAAATCATTTGAACAGGATTAAATTACATGGTTTTGATTTTATTAGAACTGTGTTGCTTCTCTTAAAACACTTCTTTATAGATAGTAAATGTTACCCAAGCAGTTTTTTAACTTCTCCACTAATCCCAATGTAAAGGTTACTTTTTGATATTTCTGTAGTACCAGCTATATATTGGGACCAGTTGCAGTGACACTGTTCTGACTGTAAATTAATCATGAAAGTTGCATTATACTGGCACTTTAGTGTGGTAGCTTCTTCATAAGTTTTAGATACATCACACATCACTGATCAATTGGAAATTCATCCTTTTTTCAAGTTATTATTTCTTACCATGCTTTCTTTGAAAAAATCCATCATTTTACCATCAATAAGTCAGGACCCTTTGAACAATATTCTTCCATCTCCTCCCATGTTGAAGAGTGACAATATGAGGTTGCTTACAGCTAAGTATTATTGTTCTTTTTGCGGTCCTTATTATATCTAGGAAGCAATTTTCCCATGCCTTTTATTTTCTATTTATGATTATGAAGAAATATATTTCATATAAGTTTTGCCTATGGGGTTCTTTTATTCTTAAATCTGCTTTCTTAAACCTCTTCAACCAAAGATAAATCTGGTGACTTTGGTGTAAATCATCACCGTAGTTCCACCTGGGTGGAATAAATGAGCTTTGCTTTGGCTGAATTTCAATTAAAGAGGTTTTTGAAAGTTTAACCATGCTATTTTTGTTTTATTCTGCAATATGCCTGCATGCTGAGAGTTCCAGTAAGGCCTTCGCAAAAGAACCAAACATGAAAGCCAATTAAAAGTCTAAAGTTTAGCTTATTATTGTTTTATTTTGTTCTTTATTCAAGCTATCTTACCTATTCTCAGCTATTTGCCACATTCCCTTTTACCATCTTTCTCTCTGTATTATCTTCGCAATGATGTCTGATCACACTAGAAAATTTTGTGGGCCCTAAAAACATACAGTGCAGGCTTTAGTTGCCTGTCCTGTGAATGCAAGAGCCTCAGGATATGGATTTTTGCTGTATTGTGATTAGGACTCGGTTTCATGGGTAGGTACATCTTTGTCATATGCAGCTAGGTAGCCTTGAGACAGTTGCTGCTTATACATCCCATGGGTCATTACCACATTTCATGGAATTCTTAGTCTTCCTACTGTGCATATCCCTCAGGCCTGGAAGCTAAGGGGTATGCACATGTGCCCGCATGCATTCTTTCACGTGACAAAAATGAATAATTTAAACTACTTTTTAAAAGTTTTGGGTTGATTTTTGGTTGAAAGTGTCGATTTGATTTTATTTGGCTTTTGCTGCTTGCCTACTGAAGCTATAGAGAATGTAACACTATCTCAAACACACATGTATGTGTGTGGGTTGTGTGTCTTGTACATACGTTTTTCTAAGTTTGACAGATTTTCTTTAAATTGAACAGACAATACTGCTTAGCCGTCACAACAGGTATTAACAGGGATATCAAGGATGCTGAATTTATGCAGCAAATAAACACTTGGTCATAAGGAAGCCTTCCATGCAATGAACACACTAATAGTACAAGGTCTTCACTCTCCAGAGAAGAACACTAGTGAAAAAAGTTTTGGAAGAGTCAAATCTTCCCTTAGGAAAAAGGGGTATTTCAAGATTCTGGTTTCGGCAATCAAAGAGGGGAAACCGTCTTACACCCAATATTTCTGGGAGTTGAGAAGCATGCATTACTAAGAGTTCAAAACTCAGATTCCCGTTTATGCTAAAATGATCAGGCTGTCAGGGAAATAATGCTCTACAGATGTGATTGCACTGGATAGAATTATTTATGTCACAAAAAATATGAAATTTTTATGAAGAGACCTGTCTGACTTTGTGTATTGACCACTTACAGTTGTAGGATGTTACTTAGGACAGTAACACTGCAAATGCAAGAAAAGTAGATCTTTTCAAAAGATCTGATGTCCAACATTGGAAGTGTACACAGCTCTTCTATATAAAGTACAGAATGCTGATGCTTGAAAAGGAAAATCAATAATGTGACCTGAAATCAGAACATCTAGACATTGACTTATAACTGAAATTGAGTATTTGAGGAAGAGTGTGTTCCTCAAATATTACTAAGAAAAAAATGAGGAATATATGAGATGGGTTTTTCTTTTCTAAATTGTAAATTTGAAAAGATCACTTACAGAACAATTCTAAAACAACCAAAAGATACAGCTGTCTAAAAGAAACAAACAAGCAAAGAGAAAAATGCAAGACACACTTTAGCACAGTGATTTTTTCTGGTTTTCTCTTTCTGTACATCCGTCAGCAAGTTTTAGCTCTCTAAAAACAGGGATTTTGTATAAATTCTGTGTACAGTATCAAGTGCTGTTGTCTTTGCCTCAATTAGTACATATTTTTAATGCACTTGGACAGTTTTCTATTGTAGGTAGCAAAAGCCTATGTACTATTTACCATAAAAAACAATCTGCCTGAGATGTACAAAAATGGGACTTTTGATGGTCTTTCCCTGTCAGGAAGACCAATGGGACTGATGCCCATTGCCTGTTGCTCCTAACCAGGTAGGAGGCCCATCAGCACCACTGCAGATGTGAAAGCATAAAATGTGAATTTTTAAAGCCCATCACAGGAAAAGTAGAGGGCAAGATTCAGAGATTTGCTGCTAACAACCCAGTTAGTTGTATGTGATCATTCAGAAAATACCTTTGTAAAGCACATTTTAGGCTTCCAAGAATGTGGGCTGCTGGCTGAATAGAGGCTAGGTGCCTTGAGGAATCACTCCCTTGCCATGCTTAACTTTTTACACATCCTTGTGTTAATAGGTTATGAGCCTTTTCTGCCTGTTGCATACAGTAAACAGTAACTTGTTTGTTCTTTCCTCCTTTGTGCCACCATTACCAGTTTAGGTAGACAGCCAGGCATAGTATTACAATGCAGATGTGGAAGTCTTGCTCTGGTCTGGTTTCATACAGTGACATCAAAGTGAGAGATATTTTTACGAACATGCTAGTTCAGTAAGATGTGTCAGGTAAATCAAAGTATGATTTTAACAGTAGTCTTGTGGCTCCTATTTTAATAACTCCTGCAAGGCCCATACTGTAGTTCAGATTTTAATAAGGTTTTGTACTAGTATATCAACAGTTCTGTGGCTACATGTATTAATTGCTGTTACTCTGAATTCACCAGGGAGGTGGCAAAGGAGAAAGCAGGGACAAGCCCACAATGGAGCATGCCTTTAACAAAAAAATATTTTTAAAGCGGTCAGTACAGGCTCATTTAAATATTTTGAAAGAAGAAGGATATAACATTTTGACTTTGGTCTAACACAGAACTGGCTTGAAGTTAGAAGGAAAGTGGGGAAAAGATGTGGATTGTGGCAAATAGCTTACAGAAAATCCAGACAATCTTTGTTTCCCTGGATTCCACCCACTAGAGAATAACTCACCCATTTGAATCATTGTGATGTTTAAACAGCTATCAGAGACTTCAGAAAGCTATGGTTTATATCAAAGCATGGTGAAGTAAATTAGCTTAATTGCTCAACTGAGGAGTCCAATATAATACAATAACTAACGGAGTCTTACAGCCTTAAGATGAAATCAAAAACTGAGCTTACACAAAAATGGAAAATACATGGAAGGATGAGCTAATTCTGTGTCAAAGCTGCAACCACTGCCTAAGGGAGCTTATGGGAACCAAACAAATATATGCAGGACTTCAGTTCTCCACCTTGCCTTGTTCTAACCTAAAGAAAGATCTGAAATAATTTACTTGCATTAGATGTTCCAGCCCATCTGTTCCATTGTGCTCTGTATGTTCACTAGAGACTTAAAAACATACTACTTAAATATATTAGGAAACTAATGATTACTAACCAAATAAAATGATGACTTTGATGACTTTTTTCTTTACAGAATCCCTATCCAGGGATGTTTCTTACATCTTATGTTAAGTAAGGTGATTTACATTCATCATATGCACTACATACAGGCATTGGTTTAAGTCCCAATTAAGGCTGATATGAGTGGGTGTGTGCTAAATTAAAACAGTGTTTGTCCCAAAACTGAGATAATAGGAGATGCTGATGACCGTTCTTACCTGTGGAAAAAAAAAAAGGAAGCTCAAAGCATGCCTTTTGTTCGAGGACTAACACATTTCTTGGAAGGGGCTTTTTCTTTTGTGAAGAAAGCTGTAAAGTTACAGTTTCAGTGACTGTGATGACTAGGAAGCATCTCTTAATGCTTATACTATACTCATGGTGTTACATGAATGTATGGAGCCAGTCACACTCCATGTCTCTTACAAAACATACATCAAATTTCATCAGCGAAGGCAATAGCTTTAATTTATTTTTAATATCCTGTTATGTAAACCTTGCCTACAATTACAATTGTCTATGTTATCCTATGTATTCCTATTAAAAATGGAATACATTTTAATGAGATTGGACTAGATGAGGTACTGCTGGGAGCAAAGAGTATTAGAAATGTACCAAGACGAATAAACTCTGACCTAATGGAATACTACCATAGAGTAATGACAAGCTCAGGGTTTGTTTGCTTGCATGGGTTTTGTCTTACCTAGAAATGTAATTTGGTTTAGATCATGTTGTGCTCATGCTGTATTTACAGGCAAAGAAAGGAAACTATGCTTTCCTGTGGGACGTGACAGTGGTAGAATATGCTGCGCTGACGGATGATGAATGCTCTGTGACAGTCATTGGAAACAGTATCAGCAGCAAAGGATATGGGATAGCACTCCAGCATGGAAGCCCCTACAGAGATCTTTTCTCCCAGAGGTAAAACAAAACAAAGCTCATTTTATAGGACTTCTCTCTAAAATTAGCAACCATTTATGATTCATGTTAATTTTGGCAGTTATTGAATAAAGGACCATAAATAAGTGACAGCAGACATGTTATAAATTAAGGCTTCAATAAAGCTGCTACTTCTGCTCCACATGCACCAGTCTAGAGAGGAGGGGACTGAGGGTGGTGTTGGCCTCACACCTCCAGGCAGCACTGCCTCTGGCAGAAAAAGGGCTGATGTCCTCACAGCTTTGTATGGTAAGAGATTGAGGAGAGATCTTTGATTCATGCTACGTTTTGATGGCTGTGAAGCAATATGTTGCTCCCTACAAGTAAGCAAGTAATAATGCCCTGGCTTATCCTTTAGTGTTGGGAGAGAGGCTGAAGATTCACAACAGTGCAGGAAAACAATAATTTTTGGGTATCACATGGGATTGTGAGACTATGAGACTATAAAACTGTGCCATTTATTGATCTTTGAGCTACCAGCTAGGAGTATCTTTTCCATGTGAATGCATACACTGAAATGGAGACGTGCATTTTTGCAGGCATGTGTGGTCTCAGCAGAAGGTGAGCGGGTGCTCTGTTCCAGGCAGGGAGCTGAAGCAAGATTTCCTTTTCCTCCTTGTTTATAAAGAGGAGTAAAACTCCAGCTGCATAACCAGAGACAAAGCTGCCTCAAGAGAAAAGATTGTTAGTAAACAGCTAAACGAGTTACCAAACTAAATCCAAAATGAATCATTCATGGAGAGAAGGGACACTTCACAAGAGACAAAACAATGATTAATTAGCAACTGTTAACACAGTAATTCAGGCATTAAATAACAGCATTGAAGTAAAATCTTTTGCATAAACTACATTTGCTGAAGTAAATGAGTTGGTTGCTGCTTAAACAGATTCGTATTAAGTGGCACAGAAATAGTAGCATGCTTAGTCTCACATGATTTTGAAATTACTGTGGGAGAGCAGCAGTAGAGTGGATTGAGCATGTCACTAGTGGGACCAGCTGTTGCAGCTGAATGTAGCCAGACCAGACATGACTAACTGGAATATGGTGATTTCCCTTAGAAATGCTTTTTTCATTACAGTGGAATTTTTTACAGTCTTCTTTTTCTGAAGTTACCTGGTGGAGTTCACCTGCTGCTGTGAGGAGAAAGAACTCGTGGTATAACAAAGTTTCAAATGAATACTACTACACAGTGGTGGTCCTGGCATGCAGTTTTGAATTGTGGGATGGTAGATTTAAAATATACATGTCATACAGAAAAGACAAAAACCCAGAAAGTATCAATGAAAATAATACTTATATTTCGACATTTTTTGCAGGATCCTAGAGTTGCAAGAAAGCGGAGATTTGGATGTTCTTAAACAGAAATGGTGGCCACGGATGGGACGTTGTGACCTGAATAGTCATGCCAATGCACAGACAGATGGGAAGGCACTCAAGCTTCACAGTTTTGCAGGAGTTTTCTGCATTTTAGCAATAGGCCTCCTTCTTGCATGCTTGGTGGCAGCATTGGAATTGTGGTGGAACAGCAACCGTTGTCATCAAGAAACACCGAAAGAGGTCCATAACTTTTATTCTTATCACAATTAAAAGTAGAAAACATGAAAGAGAGTGAAAGTTGTGGGATTTTAGGTGCTCTCATACAATAAATTTGATTTATTTTGATTCGCTGTACTAAGCTTTGCATATAACTTTTTGGGTGGTTGTTTCTAAACAAATAAAGAAAGCAAAACACGTCTTTTGTGCACATACAAGGTGCCAAACTGAAAGCCCTGGATACTAAAGTCCTCTATTTATAGAGCAGATACAGCATGGGCAGCAGCAGTGCTAACTTCCACACTGCCCCACCAATGTGCCTCAACCCTGACCTGGAGAGACCACCTTTAGGGATAAGAGAGTAGTTCAGAAACATACCCTCGGCCTCTCTTCTGCGAGTGATGGGGAGGCCAGTCATGGGCATCCAGTTGTGCCATCTGTGGTAATATTTTCTCTGATCTGAGACCCCATCCATCGGCTGTGAGAACCATATCCATCCTGTGCCGGCTGTGCAGCTGCCAGCCAGCTGGTAGCTGTTTTCCTTCACGGCTGACCTAGGCTGAGTTTGAAGAGATAGATGAGCCATTAAAAATAAGCCAGCTAGTTATTAACTGAATAAGCCATATTGCCATGAAACTGTTTCTTCCTTTGAAATCAGTTTTACTTCTAAAAGTAGCAGTCTCTCAGTAAATGGACCTTTATATGGTATATTTCACCAAGGAAAATACATCTGAATTTCTTGGGTTTGAAGTTTTCATGCACAGCAATGAGTAATATTTAGCAATGCTATGATGGAATCAGTCCACACTCAAATCCGTCTTGCATGAAACCCGTATTTGTTTACATAGATTAAATGTTTAACAAACTAACCTCTTGTAATCTTGGAGGCACTGAGGCATTTGTAGATGCTTTCATGTTGGAACAGATGTTTGTTACAAGCAAATAATAGCAGTGAGCTGCACTACAGCTGGAATATAGTACATAGCCCATCAATGCCAATCTATGTTTCTCAAGTTGCCAGGAGTACTGCACTAATTGACATACCTATCACCTGTAAGCAATTGTGGCAAATGGGATCTGAAGATACATGCTGCAATCTGTAATGTTGTGAAATATTTTTCAGTAAGGTTCCATTCTTCTGAGTTCCTGCTTCTCCCATTTGAATCCATCCATCAAGTGCTCAGTGATAAACATCTGTACCATGTTTGTGGGACAAAGCTGCAAAGTCACTTGCCTGTGGCTCTGAAATACACAATAGTGAAAGGGAAATTTTGGTAAAAGGAGGCATATCTGCTTTGCAAAATGCAGCACTCTAAAAGCAGGCACAGGGAGAGCACCAGTAGGTACTCTTATTTATAAAGAAGCTTTCATATGAACAGAAGTGCATATTTAATTGCTTTTTGGTTAAATACTGTAGCATTTTTCCCTGCTGTCTTGTAGAAGTCACTTCTGCTGTAACCCAAAGGCCCCACGCCATGTTAGCATTGCTAAGACGCAAACGCTTGCAGTAGTCGGTTCACTGCCCACTGTGAAAGCCAGGCAGAGCAAGGGGCAGGGATGTTGTCTGAAGTATCCTCATGCTGTGTGTGCACAAGTATTTGTTTTGCCAGTTTTGCAGTGCATTCCCCTCTCCATGCTCAGGGACTTGTCTTTGTGTGACTTTGTAGAGTGAGATGAGAATATGCCCCAAAGGCAGTTTCATATAGGTAAGGCAAAATAATTCACTCCTTTACTGCAAGGCGCTTTAAACAGTTTCCATCTCCAAGAGTCTTACTGACTTTAAATATTTTCTTTTTGCCCATACCCTTAATTTATCTTTTTATAACTGTAAGAAGGATTATTACATATCTCCGCCTACCCCATCCCATCTTTTCTCCCCTTCCTGTACCTCTTCTATTCCTTCACTTTCCCTCCAATGCATTCTTGATCTGGGTTGCTCTGTACAACCTCTTTTGCTGTTTCTATGACAAACAATAGAATACTTTTAAGCATCAATTTTTTAAAGTATACTAAAGCTACTCAGCCGGTAAAGCTGTACTTGGGAAGATGACCTGGCAAGGGAGCTGGGTCTGCCCTTAGAGCACAGCCAGCCTGGGTTAAGGGAGGCAAATTAAAGTTAGTGCACATGAGCAGGCTCAGGAAAGGTCAATGATGGGGGTACTACTGAAAGAGGGAACAGAGTCAATGGGCGCCCCGGCACAAGTAGGTGTTGAGGTTGAACGAGAAAGTGTGTGTTCCCGAGGACAGGGCACAGGGATGAGAACTCACAGGCCAAGCCATCAGGAGGTTATGTGAAGCCAGCAGGATGGAACATAATGAGGGGTCCCCGAAAAGGACAGCTGGGTGCAATGCAAAGCTAGAAGCACTTTTGGATCAGGTCAGAGCAGCCACAGGGATAGGTAGCTGCTGCCCAGACCCATCGATGGGCAGTTTTCAGAGGTCTTCTGCTTAAATGTGACACACAGGTGTTGTTGTTAACAATCTAAACTCTCTTTCCACACGGTTCCGCTGCGGATTGGGTCGTGCAACACATTAACCTCAACCCGAGCTCAAACCGCACACCAGAGGTTGCTCCAGCTGCAGCAGCCAGGCCCGTGTCCCCGCCCGGCGGCTCCCGCTCCGGCCCCGGCCCTTGTCTTCGGACCGGGCGGCAGCCGGACGCACCAGCCGCCGGTCGCGCGCCGCTTTCTGATTGGCCCGAGCGGCCGGGACCCCAGTAAAGCAGTAGCGAGTACGTGACTACCGCGCCCGCGGTTAATGGCTGCCCGCCCCACGGGGTGGCGCCGCGGGGATGAGAGCACGGGGCCTGGCCGCCGTGAGCAGAGCGTCCTCTGGGGTAAATCGGCAACTGAACGTAGCAGGTGTTTGTCGGTAGATCAGCGGTCAGAGGCATTTTACTTATGTGGCATTAGGGGAGGGATTGAAGCGGGATTGCTGCTGGCTGCTATGATTAAGATAGGAAACAAAGTTTCAGATGGTGTAAACTGGTTGGTGTGAATTGGTTGAAGATTTTAAACGTATTTAGGAGAACCAGGTTTCAAAACTTAAGAGAGGGCAGGATCCAGGGAGGAGGAGAGCCTTGAATCTCTGAGGACTCCCCTGATTGAATCAGGAGCCGTGGCTGAGTATTGTTTAGGGGACTGAAAGCAAAGGCAAGATTTGATCTCCAAGCTTTTATCTCCAAGAGGAGTGGTTTTGGGTATCTTGCTTCTGTCTCTTGGTATTACCCAGCTTTTCTACAGCAGTAGCTGTAGTAAGCGAGTTACCGCATGCATAGCATATACAAAACACTAAAACCTACCTGTTAGCTGCATCTGATACCGCAGACATGTCAGTTCAGTAAGAGCTGCAAACTTCAGGTCATGCTTTTGATTTTCTTCTGCTTTTGGGAAGTCTTTGGCAAAACATGAGTGTTATGGTACCACCTAAACACTGTGGGAACTGGATTGTCTTCCAGTCTTTGTTTTCTTCTAGGAAGTGCAGACCTTGTGGAGGGTCACAGGAGGGACTGCTTCTCTTGCAGCCTAGGATTAGACTTTGGTGTCCCCTCATGATGCAAAGGACAAGGAGCTAGTGTTTGGCTTCTGTGATCCTTACCCTGTTAGGAGCTTTATAAATCCATTATAGAAAATTACAGTGGATTCAGGATTGAGTGAGGACTTGTCATTAGTTGCAGAGCCCAAGTTTAATGTTTTCTATTTGGCTTGACCCAGTTAGATAGGCTGTATCATGCCAACAATTGACAGTATATTGAGGTGTTAAAAGACTCAGATGATGGTATAAGTCACAACATTTAATTACTATAAGCATGAAAAATGTAGTATCAACTATATAACTGCGAGGAACAGAAAGCCTGTTCTTTGAAACCTGATAAACATAACTTGAACTTTGACATTAGAGACTTGATAGGAAGAGTTAATCCAGATGGAGACTAGTTCCAACTGGAGTATTTTTTACATTGTTCGCATATGAAGAAAATCTGCCCTGCTCAATTAAAAAAATATTAGTTTCTACCTCCAGGAAAGATAGACTTCCTTTACTTTCCCCAAAACATGGTTGCCATTTATTCACAATTCTGTCATGCAGGCAATGGTGAAATTTCTTGCTAAGAGAGTGAAGGCTGGGTTGGTTTTCTTTTTCAAGATGTTACTGAAGATATGTTTATTCTGTTTGAAGCAGAATTGTAAAAATATTGCTAATGAGTTATGTTGTAAATATCTTACTGTTATCCCTTTTAATTCTTCATTTAATCCTTGTCAGATCAGATTAACAAAAAAAAAGATTAGCTACAACACCAGGAAAAAATGTACAGCTGCAGTGCTGTACCACATTTTTCTATTAGGGCTCAAGTTTGTAATCTCGTAAACTTGGAAAGAGATCTAGTAATGTTTAAATGTCCTTATTATTTTATAATTCAGGAAAATTTAAATTTGGTCATCTTTCCAAATCAGATTTTCTAGAATCTGTAATCATCCTCTCCTAATTGTTATTAATACCTAGCCATCCTATACCCTATACAGTGAAATTTAGCCCGCTCATACATCTATCCCTGTGTGTTAAAATCTGGAATTTACACAGCTGCCACTCAGCCTGCGATAGTGATACCTAATCTGTAGACTTTGATAAGGCTCAGAGATTTTGGGAGTTGTAAAATAAAAAAATGCAAGTTAGTATTTATTCTGGAATTTCTGTTCAGTCACTCTGTGTCCCTTTTAAATAACTGAGAAATCGGATAAAGTTACTGAAATCTTGCCTGATAGAAATGTTAAGCTTTAAATAATTATCTCTAGATTTCTATATCTTTTGATATGAGTCCTACGCATTTATTTCATGACATCAGTAAACTATAATATAATTTGGATCATTTAGCTTCCAAGGTCTTTGCCACATCATCAGGGTTTTAGTGCCTTTTATTCCATTTGACAGACTGAATGACAGTTTTTAAATCTTCATTGTCAATATGAGCAAGTGTTGCCGCTTATTGCAGCGGAGTCCCCAGCATCCTCTGCGCTTTATCAGCTGTC